CAGTTCAACGCAGATTCGGAATAAGAACCTCTTTGCTCTCTGTTTTCGTTTATTCTCATTTAAATTCTAAGTATTTTCGTCATCTTATTTTCGTTGTGCGGTTCTCGCAGATAGCCGGTTCCTCTGGAAACTTAGGGTTTTCCCGAAGTTTCCTTTTTTACGATTTATTTGACAGTAGGGTGAAATCGACTCCCACAGTCTGCTGCAAGTTTCAAGACAGAACTCAAAACCTCATCAATCTTCCTATCCACGGTTTCAAGTGAATGCTGATAACGCTCTGCTATAACCCATACTTTTCTGATAATATGAACATTGAACACTCTCCTCAAGGTAATATTAAAAGAACATTGAACACTCTCCTCAAGGTAATATTAAAAGAACATTGAACACTCTCCTCAAGGTAATATTAAAAGACTCCACTAACCTATACTTTTCTGATAATATCTTACACAAACTCCTAAATGTTGTCTGGTTCATACGTAGAATATCATAGCACTGTACCTCAGAGCTGAACATAAAGCGTTGCACACGCCGCCAACCTCCACCTTGGTTTCACCTGATTTGTTGTCTATCAGTATCAGCTTATGTCCCTCCAAACATTTCCTCTATAAGAGTATACATGTGCTAATTCTCATCAAATAACATATCCAACTCATCATCTTCAATTAAAAGTCTTAATATGTCCTGCAAAATTACAAGGCAGGCAGCATTTGTTCGTTAGAATCATCATCATGATAAAATCAAACTCTAAAGCACAATTATAATTAAAAAATGGCAGCATAAAGATTTAGAATTACCTTACTATTCATCCAGTCGTACACCAAAGTTTTAGACTTAACCAAACTTTATCATTTACTTTACTAAACCTGAAAAATCAGAATCATAAAATAAGATAATTCTCGTAATCAAAAACTAATTCTCATATAATAAGACAATTCTCATAATCAAAACTGATTCTCATATAACAAGACAATTTTCATAAACAAACGACACCAAGATTCATACAAAACAAAACCTTAAATAACATAGAACAAGACAGTAAGATTGTTTCTTGGTTAGCAGTAGCTAACTCCAAGTAGGATAGTCTTCAAGCATCTCTGTTTTCACCAGTAGCAAACTCCAAATATTAAAACCTTATTCTCTTCCTCTTCATAAAACAAGAATATCTGGCGATTAGCAGGATCTTGCTTGAGGTGGTTGATAGCTGCATTGTACAAATGAGATCAAAGCCTGATATCAGACAGTGAGTGTAACACTTCCATAGCTTTAAGCTGGTTACAACTGAACTCAGGGTGGCATCCTATCAGTTTGTTCTTGTCAGAAAGAACATTTGCTACAGCCTATCCTACTTGCGCAGTCCTTGATCTTTTTCTGTTAGCTTTTGGTCTACTAGAAGATGAGGGGGCAGCAGTTCTTGATTCAGCTGGAGCATTGGTTTCCTGAGTTGGAGGAATTTGATTATCTATATCATCTGTGTCTTTAGCATCACCATCGTCATGTTTCAGATCCAAATGGTCTTCACCTTGCTAAGCAGTACATCCCTCACCTCCACTTATGTGAACCGTTCCAAACACCTCCTCCATCAAGTCCAAATTTGTTATTGGCTTGTCTTTAAGACTTTTCGATGCAGGGTGTTCCTAAAAAACAAATACATTTATCAATCTTAATCAATATCAAAATAGATCGTCAACATCAATATCAAATCAATACAATTGTCTTCATGAATTTGAGAACTTTTAAATATAAAAATCACCAGACATATTAGAATAGCTGATTACCTTACAGAGTTCATTCCACCAGTCCCGACAAGTCTATGCACCCAGCTGAATCAAAACCCAATCCAGTTTTCTTTTGAATCAGCCTCTTGAAATGCTCATACCGCTTCTTGCGAGTAGTGTTTGATCCCAATTTTTTTTCCAGATATGCTTTTGCCCATAAGATTCATTGAATTTGTTATTGATGGACTGTCTCCTAGCATCATTGACACTTTCTTTTCTGACATTTCCTTTCAGCTTCTCTTCAAGTCTCAGTTTGGATAGAACCGGGTTTGTTCATCACTCCATGTAAGATTTTTTAATACAAATATATTTAATAGGAGATTCAAACTAAACTAATAAAATCATTCTGTTAAAAATGTACTTATATCAGTTCCAGGGACAAAAGTCATTGCAACAATTATCAACGAACTAGTACCTGCAATAACACAGCACATAAAAGTTAATGTTGCAATGAGAGATACTAAACTATACTGAACCAGAGAACCATAAGGCCCAACGAGTTTCCAACAAAACCATAAGGTCAACATACTTGTAAAACTCTAATATTTATCTCTTATTTATCAGAAACAAATAGAATAGCATCACCAAAAAAGGATCTAACGCATCTTCCAGTACAAAAGAAAGAATGGCTGAGGCATAGCTAATTTTTTTGTTTACTCGAGAAAAGTCACGGACAAGAATCCACAAAGTCTCAAACAGGAAAAAAAACATTGGAGACAAAGAGTTCTAACTTATTATGAAAATTACCTTGATGATGGGAGAAGACAAGGTAAACCGCTTGAGCACGCGTGAACCAGTTGTCCAGATTATGCTATCATCAAAGAAATAAACAGGAACATATACAATCAGAGAATGTGGACCTATTAGTGACTCAGCTTGGCTTTGTCTCAAGTAAGGAGATAAACTTTCCAACAGCCATGAAGATCAAACAGATCATGGGGAATGTAAAAATCAGGTAATTCTTGTTCATACTTGAAAATTTGATCAAATCAATTATGCCTTTAAAATTCAACTTTTAACAAGTGAACAATCCTCAAAATACTGAGATTTTGTACTCGCTTGGAGCTATAGACAATGAAGAAAAGTTAATATGAATAGGTCACAAAATGTTAGCATTGGTCGTGGAGCCTAGGATGAGAAGAATGTTAATTTCTTGAGAGAAATTTGGATGTGGAGAAGAAATTATCACAATTTAAGCCATGATGATTGTCAAAGTGAATGCCCACACTTAATAAGTATCTTGTTCAGACCATATTCTATTTTGGTAGCGCATGAATCGTGGCAAGAAACTAACTTTTCAAAAAAGTGGTGTATTGAAAATGGTGTTAAGGTTATTTTGTGATTATATTATATTGTCATTTTTGATTTGTTGTTTTCAATTAGTATTAATATGGTGATTTACAGCTTATAAAATGGAGAATGCAAAAAGCATCCGTCAAAAGTTGGAAAAGGCTTTGAAGAAACTTTATATTAGAGTTTCCTCCAAATGAAATGATATCGCAGGAGTATTTCACATTGATTGACATTCCAAACAGATGTTCTCTCCTGAAACTTTGAAACTCAAGGTCAGCAAGCGTCTTTAGTTTTTTATTCAGTTATAAGGTTGACACTATGTATTCAAGTAGCATTGATTTGTCGTAAACTTTTTCTTTTAATGTTAGTGAACTCAACAAGTTTGTTAGAATGATTTGGTTGTGTATAATGTAAATAACTGATTCACGTTAGATCCTTAACTGGGTTTCCCTATAAGGGAGATGGTTTTTCTTTACTGGGTGTTTCATGTGGTAATGTCACAGCCCGGTCCGTAATGCACTTCTCTAGTCTCTAGTCTAAATGTCATATTAGGAGAAAGTGTCAAGTAGTGTAAGATGAGAAACAATCTTTGGTGTTCTTTCTTGCCTTTTGTGATGATAATATAGAGCATATGAGCTTATTTTGGAAGAAGATTATCAGGCAAACGGTTGTTTTAAAACTTAAAAACTTTTTTTTCATGTAAGTGACTCAACAGATCTCTTTGTTGCAACAATAATGGCTTTTGTTATGTATATGGTAAGGAACCGGTTCATGACCCTTAACTGGGTTTCACTTCACAAATTTTGTATTGAATATGTTTGGACCATTGATTGTAGAGTAGAGATTATGAAGAAATTAGAATTTAAAGAGAATGGAGGTGATTTGTTAGAATGTAGCTAGTGACTTTAGCTTTAAATTCCATCTACAACCATAAAAGTTACTAATCATGTTTTATTTAGTTTTTAAAACTAAAGTCAATTTTTTTTTAAAAAAAAAGTCGTAGTATCTTTGTTTTCTAAAGCACTATTTTATTTGTTGTAGAGAAAAATATTGATGTAAGAGTATCTTTTTATATTTATTATTTTTCTCATTTCTTATAACTACATTTGTTACAACTACATTAAAAATTTATACAGTAAAACTTTTACAGTTACATCTCAACCAATCACCTCCAATAATTATGATGATTATGAGTATGTCAGCGAATAAAACTGAAAGAAGACACTTAGGAATATTGCAAAAATAATTGGTTTTATCTCAGAATCCAATTCTAGAAGGAGGGTGGTAACTATCACTACTCTAATTAGTGTGCCTATAGGGTTAAGGAAACTTAGATGTCATTACTTTTTTTTTTTTTTCAAAAAAAAACTTAGATGTCATTACCAATTTTAGCATTTTAACAATGAGCATAATTATTAATATCACTTATAATGTTTTGTCAGAAAATAACAAATAAAAGTTAAGTTAATAAAATAATATATATTAAATAAAGTTTAACTTTAAATTAGTGAACTCTAGTATAATATATATATATATATATATATATATTGTCTAATTGACTATTTACATATTTTATTTTCTTTTAAATTTTTATTATTTAGTAACATGATTAATTAAAATAATAGTTATAAACAAAGATATATGTGCAGCCCTAATTTAAAACAATTTGGGAATTTAACAATTTGGAAATTTAAGCAATCCATACAAACAAATCCTAATTCTTTACATAAAGTCCTTAACTTTGTTTTTGATAAAAAAAGTCCTCTAGCTTTATTTACATAAATCTCTAACCTTTCTCCTTCATTAGTAATCATAGAAAGTGTTCGAGATCCTTCCGAGAGAGAAGCTAAGCGACTCTCTAATCCAATCGTAGATCTCTTCGAAGATGGGTGGTGCGGTGAAGGATATCGCTTCAAAGGCAGAGCTTGATAACATGCGCCAGAGCGGCGCACCAATCGCGCTTCACTTCTGGGCATCGTGGTGTGATGCTTCCAAGCAGATGGATCAAGTCTTCTCACACCTCGCTACCGATTTCCCTCGGGCCCACTTCTTCAGGGTTCGTTCGCTCTCTCTCTTCTCTGAATCTCTGACCAGTCAATTCAGTTTCTGTCTTTGATGATGTTTATGGGTTCTCTTGTCAGGTAGAAGCTGAGGAACATCCTGAGATTTCTGAAGCTTACTCTGTTTCTGCTGTTCCCTTTTTCGTCTTTTTCAAGGTAAAGTTTCTGTTTTTTTTTTTTTTTTTTTAATCGAAAGCGTAGCACTTTAGCAGTGAAGGATTAGGGTTTAGGGTTTTTGATTGAAAGTTTAGCACTTTAGCACTGAAGGGTTAAGGTTTAGGGGTTTAGATCGGAAGTTTACTAGTTTAGCAGTGAAGCATTTGGGTTTGAGAGTTTTGATCGAAAGTTTAGTTCTTTAACAGGGAAGCATTAGGGTTTAGGGTTTTTGATTGAAAGTTTGGCACTTTAGCAATGAAGGATTAGGGTTTAGGGGTTTTGATCGAAAGTTTGGTACTTTAGCAGTGAAGCATTTGGGTTTGAGGTTTTTGATCGAAAGTTTATCACTTTAGCCATGAAGGATGTGATTTAGGGTTTTGACTAGTTAGTGTCTCTGTTAGAATGTTCACCAAGTTGGGTAAAACAAGAAGATGAACCTTCATAGAATCTAGGTTTAGAGCATATTGGAGAAGACCTTAGTAACACTTAATCAGTGTTCATACCTTGATTAAGTAAATTTTATTTTCCTTGTAACTGTTAGTGATTGTATTGAAAGTTGTTACCCTTTTTCTGATTTTTAAGTGTTTTTTTTGTCTCTCACGATTTGTTATTGAAGGATGGCAAAGCTGTGGATACACTTGAAGGCGCAGATCCGTCGAGTTTAGCCAACAAGGTTGGGAAAATAGCCGGTTCTAGTACTTCTGATGAGCCTGCTGCTCCTGCAAGCCTAGGGTTAGCTGCAGGGCCAATGATTCTTGAAACCGTGAAGGAGAACGCGAAAGCTACTGTTAAAGACCGAACTCAGCCTGTGTCCACCACTGAAGCTCTCAATACCCGTTTGGAGAAGCTCACTAACTCTCACCCTGTCATGTTATTCATGAAAGGTACTCCTGAAGAGCCTAGGTGTGGGTTTAGCAGGCAAGTAGTGGGCGTTTTGAAAGAGGAGAAGGTTGATTTCGGAAGTTTCGATATACTTTCTGACAACGAAGTGCGTGAAGGTCTGAAGAAATTCTCCAACTGGCCGACATTTCCTCAGCTTTACTGCAATGGAGAGCTTCTAGGTGGATCAGACATTGTCTTGGAGATGCAAAAGAGCGGCGAGCTGAGAGAAGTTTTGTCTGAGAAAGGAATCACTGGAGAACAGAGTCTTGAAGATAGATTGAAGACGTTGATTAACTCCGAGAAGGTTATGCTATTCATGAAAGGTTCACCGGATGAACCAGAGTGTGGGTTCAGCTCAAAAGTGGTGAAAGCACTAAGAGATGAGAATGTGAGTTTCGGTTCGTTTGATATCTTGAGTGATGAAGAAGTAAGACAAGGGATCAAGAGTTTCTCAAACTGGCCTACGTTTCCTCAGCTGTACTATAAAGGTGAGTTAGTTGGAGGATGTGATATCATTATGGAGTTGAGTAGGAGTGGTGACCTCAAAGCAACTCTATCTGAGTAAAGCAGTTGTCTATCTCTCCCTTTTGCCTTGTGGTGAGAAGATTCTAGCTCCGGTAATAATAATATGTTTGAGTGTTGCAGACATTGTTGTTACTTAAGGCTTGTCTGGTTATTTCTATGATTGAGAAATCATTGATTCATGACTTTTTACATGCATGCTCCAGCGTCCACTGGTAGAAGAACATATACTTCACTCTTTAATATATATATATAAACATTGTTCATTTTTTTTTTTTTTTTTTTGGGCAACAAACATTGTTCATCTAATTTATTAAAAGGAAGTATATTTTGTACCCTGAATTTTCCACAAAATTAACATCTTATGTTACTACTTTTAAAACATAGAATTTTGATTTAAATTTGTACCAACACCATTAATTTTTTTAAGTAATAAACCAATACATGATTTTGATTTAAATTTATAAACCATTAATTCTTTTAATTATTAAACCATCGATAAATATTTTTATTCTCTAATTATTAAACCACTACTAAACCAGTTCTTATCTTACTAATAAATCTTCTTATTAATAAATCAACACTAAACCATTTTATCTTTGGTTCCTTATATATCGTATTTTATAATCTATAAAACACAATGTATTGTCATATTACTAAACAATTTAATTAGAAACCATTACTAAACCAAACATTGTTTACAAATGTGATATTACCTTCCTTCCTCTTCATCTACTATAAATTCTCAAGATGTAACACTTCCGGTTTTCAATAGTCTGTAGAATCAAAACCATTAAATTAGATATGTAAGCTGTGTTTAATAAAGCTTAACAATATGATTCTTTCAATCATATTTTATATCATGATTTTTAAATTAAGATCAATACGAGTAAACCAAGAGCATGTATTTGGTTCAAAATCATAACTACAATATTTATGAATTTCCTAAAATAAATGAGCTCCCACAATTAATTCCTATATTATAGCTAATCATCCTAATAAGAGAATAAGTGGTTTTTTTTTTAACATTGTATTTTATTATTGAATATGGTTTCTAACATATTACATCATAGAAGAAAAACAAAATGAGAAACATAAACTAATGAAACTTCCACACCGAAACTAGCGAGGACAAACATCATATATGCCACATTAGCGATCACAAACTGGTCTTGTTTCAAAATAAGGTAGATTAGGTGTTCCCAATCCCACAATAGCAGACGTACTTTTCATCTTCTAGATAGATCTTCTTCTTCATTTCCTTTATCAAAATTGTCCAGAGTTAGCTTAAGATAAGCTACCGTCCAAGTTTGAATGCAAAGTAAAAATCAGATGAATAGTTTGGATTGATGGTTCAGATCCTCTCTCACCGTCTCAAAAGCACATATACGAAGAGATACATCAAATAACTCATCACAAGAGAAAGGACAAACAATAAAATAATAAGAATTAAGGTCCGAAGGACAACCAAACTCCCATAAAGAAGAGAATTATGTTTATCATAAGAATAAAATCCATAACGTAATCTAAAGCCGGTGCATATGAGCTAGTCATAAGTAAACCCATTGCTAAAAAAACAAACGCTTCAACCTCACTGTTATGAAGAGACCAACAATATCAAACAAAGCCATACGAATAAAAAAAAACCAACACCATAGATCTGCCTTGAATCCTTAATGACGGCAACAGAAACAAGCCTCACTGAAATAAGGCAAGCCACCCACACCACCATACGCAAAAGAGAAGCAAAGGCGGTGACAATGGCAAGAAACCATAAATGATAGAGACAAACTAAAGCTCCACGACGAACCAAGTACTATCAATGAAACCACACCACAACACACCGAAATATAAAATCAAGAGAACAACCTAGACATGAAGAAGAGTCTCTCCGGAGAACCGCTAGTCATCGGAGAAACTGCAAGAAAGATGGGAGGCAGAAGATTTACAGAGTGTAATGGAAAATGAGTATTTGAAAAAAGATATTTGAATAAGTGGTTTTGATGAAGGTCTACTTTTTTGTTTTTAAGAATATGATGAACCAATTCCAAAGAACTAGTCCAATTTACTAATAGATGGGCTTCATAATTTTTTTGCACAAGAACTATATATGTATATATATATATATATATTTAGGTACCTTTCCATTATTTTTTATTATAACAGTTTAAAAACTCTATAGTTATAATCTGACTGAAACTATGTGTAAACAAAAAAATATTCAGTATAATTTAATAAAACACCCACACATTATCTTAATAATATAATACTTTAGCACTTTAGTATTTACATTAGCAAATAAAATGAAAAGTTGTACAATAACATATTTTATAATTGGACACTAAAAACTGAACAAAAATAATAAAAAAATATGAAACTGTCAAATTACTGTTAAACATATAATTATTTTGAGCACGGGTCTAAAATTTAGTAACAATTAAAAGTTAATATTTTAATGTGTTTTTGCTGTGTATTTAAATTTAATTGCCCTAACATCATTTTGACTAATGAAAGTAAAAAATTGTCGGATCAAATTCTCTAGTGACACAAGTGAATTTCTTTTTTTTTTCTCTCGTGACCCCATCACAATTTCCTTTTATTAATCATTTAAATTTAAATACAAAAGAGCTATAAATAACTAAAAACCAGAAGACTTTAAAGTATTTACGGTTCGTGCCATTACCATCTTACCCGACCCGACTTGAACCCTAGATTTCGAAACAGAACTTCCCCACTCACCCCACTTACGATTTTGATCTTGTAAAATCGCCCTTGAAGCTCCAAAAATGGCATCTAAACAACAATTGACAGAAATGAAGAAGAATAAAACTCCACCAATAAAGAAGAAAGAAATTCCACCGGCGAAGATGAAGAACGCTCCACCGGCGAAGAAGAAAAGGTCGTCTCCGGCAGAGAAACACGCAGCAGACGATGGTGGATCGTCGTCTCAGCCTAATAAGCGGCCATGCCGTTCTTCAAACCCTAATCCTAAAAATCTTCAACGAAATCAGAGAGGAAATCCGAATGCTTCTCCTGTTCGGGGCTCTGCCTCTGCATCTCTTACTCCGGCCGCTGCCTCCGCTTCTCCTATTCCGGCCGTTGCCTCCGCTTCTCCACCAGCGAACAGACAAATCTCTCCAAATAGAAACCCACAAGATCGTCCCGTCACATCTCTGTCTGGTTCTAATTCCGGGTCTTCCACTAAGGGCGGGACACCTTCTTCTGAACAAGGAGACAATGAGGAAATTGGGGATTCGAGGGAATCGAGGCACGGTGATCCTCGCACATCTGAAGAACCACCTAATGCTACGAAAGAGCAAAGAATGGTAAGAAATAAAACCGAAATTCATTTTTGTAATATGGTACAACTAGGATATATATTGTATATAGTTGAACTAGTAGAACTTAAAGGAAGGAAGTTTGACTTGTACAACTGAAATAAGGTTAACTAGTATTACTAAAACAACTATAAAATGTAAAATTGTTTAACTTTGACTTATCTAACTAGTATTACTTGTATCACTCGTACAACTAGAACCTATTAATCTAGTATTACTTGAACAACTGTTAAATAATAACTAGTATTACTTGTACAACTGTTAAAGAATAACTAGTATTACTTGTACAACTACTGTGTGTATTACTTGTATAACTCGTATTACTAGTATTTATCTAATTATAATTGGAATATGTAAAACATGTATGACTCATACAACTAGGACTTATCTAACTAGTATTACTTGTACAACTACTGTGTGTATTACTTGTATAACTCGTACTACTAGTACATATCTAATTATAATTGGAATATGTAAAACATGTATGACTCATACAACTTGGACTTATCTAACTAGTATTACTTGTACAACTGCTATGTGTATTACTTGTATAACTCGTACAACTAGGACTTATCTAATTTTAATTGGAATATGTAAAACATGTATGACTCGTACAACTGAGAGTTATCTAACTTGTATTACCTGTACAACTGTTAAAAAAAACTAGTATTACATGTACAACTGCTTTATACTAGTATAACTCGTACAACTAGGAGTTATCTAATTATAATTGTAATTTGTAAAACATGTATCACTCGTACAACTAGGACTTATCCAACTAGTATTACTTGTAATATTGTTAAACAATAACTAGTATTATTTGAACAACTGGTATATATATTACTTGTATAACTCGTACAACTACGACTTATCCGACTAGTATTACTTGTAAAACTGTTAAACAATAACTAGTATTACTTGAACAACTGGTATATGTATTACTTGTATAACTCGTACAACTACAACATATTATTTTGTACAACTTGCAATACTCGTACAACTTCAACTGTAATTGAACTTGTGCTAATCGTTTAAATGTTTATTTTTTGCAGGGTGAGGAGGCAGTAGGCGCAATGAGACCACACAAGTTTTACTTTCAACCAGCCGAGTATAGGAACCTGTGGGTGTCGATTTCCACCTACTGTCAAATAATCGTAAATAAGGAAACTTCGGGAAAACCCTAAGTTTCTAGAGGAACCGGCTATCTGCGAGAACCGCACAACGAATATTAAGAAAACGATGAACTTTAGACTTAAAACGAAAATAAACGAGATTGAAAGCAAGAAGGTTCTTATTCCGAATCTGCGTAGAACTGGTACAAAAGAGAAGCCTTATGCTGCGTAAGCCGTCGGCGAAATCCTTAGAATCTAAGAACGAAAACCCTAGTTGAGACGCAGCTCGCTAACAGATTAACGGAAATATTCCTAAATGCTAGTTTTGGTGGTGAGAGCTCTGAATTTCGTGTCCCTTGTTTCTGCCCTAGACCTCCTATTTATATACTCCTCGCCTTGGCTATCCGATCTTTCCATTTCGCCCAGATTTGACTAAATCGGGAATTTTCCATTCTTCTCGATCCTTCCTTTTCTTCCGCGGAAATCTTCTATTTCTCTTCAAACCTTCCTTCTATCTTTAAACTTGACTTTTATTTTCCTTCTGCGAGTAAACTGTCAAAACGTTATCAAATCTGCGGGTTAGATTCCGTTGAAATCGCGAGATGGGTTTTTATCGCGTTTTAGGTCCTTCCGGGCCGTTTTGCGATAAAAACCGTTTTCCGACTTTTTATGGGATCGTTTCCTGATCTGACGTCGTTTTTAATAAATTTCTCGAGTTAATCGCAAGGTTTTACGATTTACTCGACTTTTTATTAAAAACACGTTTTTTACGACTTACTCGGCGTTTTTTATTAAAAGCGCGTTTTTTATGATTTCAACGAGAAATCTCGAATAA